CCTGTGGTGGTAGGAGAGGGGATGCTAGAAAAGTTACACAATTCAAATGAGGAAAAAGAAAAAGTTAAAGGTTAACAATTGCCTACAGTGTAGTCAGGGAGAGGGCCTGTCCTAATAATTGCACAGGTCAATGGAGCATTGCAACCTGCAAACACTGCAAAGGTGTGTGTGTGTGTGTACACACAAGTGCTAAGGATTAAGTGCAGTCTCTCAAATGCTTGGCAGTCACTATAGGGTGCTGCTGTATGCTTACAGGCACATAATATAGGGGAGATTGATCCAGTCTGTGGTTGAGTGAAAGTCAGGGAATTGACGCAGAGAGCTGGACTCTAAAGAGCTGAGCTGTGTGCTGGGGAAGTACCTTCCACAGATGTGAAAGCAGCAGATGCAGCAAGTGAGCTAAGAGAACATCGGGCATAGGTGGGGGAAACTGAGGATGGGGTTGGTGTTGAAATATAAGTAGGCACTTTAGGAACTGAGTGATGGCCAGGGAAGCTGGAAGTGCATGTAGCTAGGATCTAGCAGGCTTACTGCTAGGCATATTGCTCTGCATGGTCTCAAGAAGCCCTGGTAAAACAAGGATGCTCCTAGTACTACTGTCTCCAACCCCAAGAAAATAGAGCCAGTTCAATTGCTCATCAATAGGAAAGTGTGAATCACAGAGCATATCTTAGTTTGGGTTTCACATAAAATTGAATGTGGTGGTAGGAAGAGCAGGAGTTCAAGGCCAGCGTTGGCTACATGAGACTCTCAAAAGGAGTCGGGGAGAAGGAAGAAACTGCTAACCTCTTTGGGCCTACCTTGCTGTAGAATATAGGCTTTTGGAGTCCAGAGTGAGTGAAAGCAAGATGAGGCAGGGATGGAAAGGAAGCCCTGGAGACGGTCCCTGTTTACAGAGGCATTCTTCCTTGGGTTCCTGAGCAAAGGCTTGCCCCACTGCCCCACCTCTGTAGTCATCAAAAACTTCCAAATTCTCCTTCCCTACATCCCCAGTGGTACCCACCATTCTGCCTCGAAATTTGACTACTTTGGAGACTACAAGAACTGTACTGCGTCCTATTGTATGTGAATTGGTGTTTTGCTTACATGTATGTATGTGTGAGGGTGTAGGTGCCCCCCTGGAACTGAGTTACAGAAGTTGTGAGCTGCCATGTGGGTGCTCGGAATCAAACGTGGGTCCTCTGGAGGAACAGCCAATGCTTTTAAACAAGGAGCCAAGACAGTCTTCATAGATAGCTGAGACTCCTGATCCTCCTGCCTTGGTCTCCTAAGCGCTGGTATCGTGTGTACTACCATGCTCAGTTTTCCTTCTGAGGCTGGATATTCCATTGTCTTGTTGGTTTGGTAGTTTGGTTATTTTTGTCTGTTTTTTGTTTTGTTTTGTTTCTGAGACAGTCTCCATCTCTTGCTTTACTATATAATCCAGGCTAGCCTTGAATTCACTGTACAGCCTCGGGTAGCTTTAAATGTGTAGTCATCCTACAGCTTCAGCTTCTCAGGGGCTGAGATTACAAGCATGGCCCTTTGACACCATCAATTTTCCACTTCAAGCAATGCACCCTGTTTTATCTTCTCATTCATCCACTGATGGACATTTTTTGTGTTTCCACCCTTGGGGCTATTGCAAACCATTAATATTTTCTCTCTTAGATTGATGGAGATAAATTATTTTTAGACCATACACATATGTTTATATCCTAATTTTTTTTAAGCTTAGCAGTTGTGATATTCTGAGATATGTGTGATCTTCATCCCACTTTCCTGGCTTACAACTTCAAAAAGCCTTTGAATCTCCAAAGTGATTTGTCTTTTTATATGCTAATTAGGTGACTGCTGCCTGGCAGCCTCCCGGTACCTTGGTAGCTTTGGAATGAGAGCTAGGTGACCAGCATGTCTAAAGCAACATTAAAGGGTGGGAACTTTCAGGCCCACCTGCTATCTCAGGACGGTGGTTATGCTGGAGGCAGCTGATAACCAATAACAAATGATTTAATCAGTCATGGATATGCAATAAAATCACCATAAAAACCCAGGACAGGGCCTTAAGACAAGGTACAGCTTCTTGTTTGGCATGTTCAAGGCCCTAGGTTCCATCCCCAGCATTGCAAAACATGGCCCGAAAGAAAGTTACTAGAAAGTAGAGTACCCAGAAGGCATTAAGAAAAGGTCAATTGCTGGCCAGACAGTGGGGGTGCACGCCTTTAATCCTAGCCCTCAAGAGGCAGAGGCAGGTGGATCTCTGACTTTAAGGCCAGCCTTGTCTACAGAGTCAGCTCCAGGATAGCCAGAGCTACACAGAGAAACCCTGTCTCAAAAATAAATAAAAGAAAGAAAGAAATAAAGAAAAGAGGTCATTTGTACTGTTTTCTTTCTCCTGATTTTTTGTTGTTTTGAAACTTTTATTTGCGTGCCTACCTCATCCATCATCTCCTTGTGAAAATACGGCGCTGGAGTGTGGGAGTGAATGGCATCCTGTGGAGAACTTCAGCCTTTGGTCACAGCAGCATTGAGTCCTTGTTTTCCTTCTTTGAAGTGATCTACATCTGTGTTCTTGGCAATGCCCTTGGTAACCGAACAGTGAATGCAAGCAAGCTTTCCCTGAGATTCCTGAGCTGCGGTGAATTAACAGAGGTGTTAAGAAGTCTGGTTTGTAGTGGGTCCTTCAGAAACACGGGGGAAGCAGCCTGGGACTCAGTGTTGGCCTCACACACGGGGACTGAGCATTCACAAATAGGGTCTGAAGTGATCTCCACTATCTAAGACAGACTAATTTTGTTTATGTTGTGTTTTCTTGTTTTGAGAAAAGGGCTCTGGTGAACACAAGCTGACCTAGAACTTCCCTAGGTAGACCTGTCTGACCTCAAACTTGTAGCAAATCTGTCTCTGCCTCCCAAGCGCTGGGATCACAGTAATATGCCACCACACCCATTTTGTTGTGGTTTTTATTTTATTCTTCCTCTTTTGTGGCATGAGGATTGAACCCAGAGCTTTGCCCATCCCTTGGTAAGCATACCCTCTACCCCTGAGTGATAACCTGAGCCCCTAGTGTGTCAGAACTGAAGAGAGGTGACCCAGACGGTGTAGTCTGTAGATTTGGAGAAGTGACTGGTTGATTGGTACTTAGGAGAAATTTCCATACCTTGATGACCAGAGGTCACAAATGTTATATTTCTGAGAATCCAGGAGAATATGATGAGTGTTTCTTCCTATAATCTTAGAACTCCACCGTGTTCATTTCCACATATGCCCACGGTTGTACAATTTTATCACTTTGCTTGACAATAATTGCCCTACGTAGGGGTTTTTGTATTTTGTTTTGTTTTTGTAGTACTGGCATGCCTGGCAAGCCCTCTACTAGTTTAGCTATGCCTTCTGTATTTTGAGATCAGGTCCTAGGTAACTGAAGTTGGTCTTAAGCTCTCTATGTAGCCAAGAATGACCTTGAATTTTCTTCAGACTCCATCTTCCAAGTGCTGGGATTACTCGAATACAGCACCACGATGACCGTGCTGAAAACCTAATTAGTCATTTTTACATCGTTTGGGTTATTGTTATAAACTGTGCTCTCAGCTGACATTTTACTGATAAGACCACAGTAAATGGCAATGTGTAGCTGATTCCCAGAAACCACACCAGGTAGCTCACAACCAGCTATGACTCTAGCTCCAAGGTTGCAATGCCCTCTTTCTGGCCTCCACAGGCACCTACACTCATGTCCAAACACACACACACACTTGCTACACTCATAGAGGATTGGGGTTCTCTTCTTAGAACCCACACAACAACTGACAGCCATCTGAATAACTCCAGTTTCAGGATCAATGTCCTCTTCTGACCCCCCAAGGACGACACCAGACACACATGCGCAAATACATACATGCAGCCAAATACCCATTTACATTAAAATAAATCTTTAAAAATAGTAATAAATAGAACATAAAAATGCAAATGAGGTAAAGTGGCTCACCTGTAATATCAGGACAATCACCATGAGTTTGAAGGCAATCTAACAGAATAAGACTTTGTCTCAGGGACTGGCGAGATGGCTCACAGGTTAAGAACATTGGCTGTTCTTCCAGAGGTCCTGAGTTCAATTCCCAGCAACCATGTGGGAGCCCACAACCATCTATAGTGAGAGCTAGTGCCCTCTTCTGGTGTGTATGCACTCTTGCAGGCAGAATACCGTACAAATAATAATCAGTTTAAAAAAACTTTGTCTCAAATAAATACATAAAGAAAGAAAGAAGAAAGAAAATAGATGATTAAGCCAGATGTGGTGGTACATATTAATAATGGTTCAAGGCTACTATTGATGTTATAATGTGTGTCACTCTGGGAGATAATGCAGGAGACTCAAGGGCCAGAGCCAGAAAGCTGGCTCAGCACTTGCCACCAAGCCTGATGACCTGAGATCCCCTAGACCCTAGACCCACATACATGGTAGGAGGGAACCAACTCACACCAGCTGTCTTCTGACTTCCACATACCCGGCGTGTGGGTCAGTGGTGGTGCAGGTCTTCAATACCAGCACTCAGGAGGCGGAGGCAGATGGATCTCTGTGAGTTTGAGGCCACATAGTGAATTTCAGGATAGCCAGAGCTACACAGAGAAACCCTACCTTGAAAAACCAAAATTAATAAAACAGGGTCTTATCATGTAGCCCTGGCTAGCCTAGAACTCATTATATAGACCAAGCTGGCCAAGAATTCACAGAAATCTACCCCGACCTCTGCCTCCTGAGTGCAGAGATGAAAAGCTTGCACACTACAGGCTTAGAGAGAGAAAGAATGAACCCATGCCAAACCTGAGCAACCTTGTCTCAAGGCAGGGAAGGACATCACTCAGTAGTAAAACACCTGTCCAGCCCAAGTCCTGCTGGGGCTGGGGGAGGGACACGTTCATATGGTGCTAAAGCCTTGTGGCTGTGGTGAGGATCTGATCACAGTCATTTCTGCATACACCTAATATATTAGCCCTAATTAAAATTTTTAATTTTCCAGCCCGGGCAGATGGCGCTGCTGATAAGACGCTTGCATTGCAAGTACAAGGAGCAGAGTTTACATTCCCAGGGCCCACATAAAAGCCTGGCTGCTCCGGTGGACTGCCTGAAATCCTAGCATTTGTGAGGCAGAGACTGGACTCTTGGTGAGCTAGACCAGCCAAGTCACAAGCTCTAGGTTCAATGAGAGACCCTGCCTTAGTAAACGAAGAGGAGAGCGATCCAGGCACACAGAAGTCATCAACCTCTGGCCTCTGCTCGGACGTGCACATACCACACGTACATATTCAAGATTGCTTTTACAAATCCGCCGTTATTAAAGTCCTGGCAAGGGGTTATGATGGGGAAGAGTTAAATCCTTAAGAGCAGGAAAGTCAGGCCAAATGAAGGGCAGATGGCTTTGGGCACACTGCCAGCGGCGCCAGGTTTGGAGCCCAGCTGCTGCCCTCTCGCCTAATGAATGAAGCACTGACAGCCTGTGGAAGAAGGTGGCAGTCATCAGATCCCGGGCCTTGATGAAGGTGTGCCACAGGCAGAGTCCTCCTGGGACCCGAGAGACCAACGAGCAGGTGAGCAGAACCTGTCTGACCTCTTCTTCAAAGAGCAGTTTCCCAGGTGAGAAGATAAGTCTCTGAGAAAGGTGCCTGGCAGTACACGGAGATAAGGGTATCTTGCCTGTGAACACATCTACAGAGCAGCCTTTCCTTTATATGTTAGTTATTTATTTACAGAGCATTTCATCAGGAAGACCAGGGATTCTTCATTCAGACACTGAACTACTGCATACCCAGATACTGACTGGGCCCAGTGGTATCCGGCAGATGTTGGCAAATATACACCACACTGGATGATGAGCTCAGACCTAGCATCTAATAGACACCTAATAAACTGAATAATAACAGACCACTTGCACTAAGTTTAGCAATTGGACTTTTATTTATTTTTAATGACTTGTTTATTTTTTTTTTTTTTTAATGTACACTGGTGTTCTACTTGTGTATGTGTGTGAGGGTGTCAGATACCCTGGAACTTAGTTCACAACAGACAGTTGTGAACTGCCATTTGGATGCTGGGAATTGAACCCAGATCCTTTGGAAGAACAGCCAGTGCTCTTAACCACTGAGGGGGCATTTATTAAATGCTGAGCTGCATGAAAAAACAGTATGAAGCTTGGAACAGGCGTTTGTTTGTTTGTTTGTTTTGAAAGATTTATTATGTACACAGTGTTCTGCCTGCATGTGTGCCTACATGCCAGAAGAGGGCACCAGATCACATTATAGATGGTTATGATCCAACAAGCGGTTGCTGGTAGTTGAACTCAGGACCTTTGGAAGAACAGCCAGTGCTCTTAACCTCTAAGCATCTCTCCAACCCCCTGTTTTGTTTTGTGTTTTTTTGAGACAGGGTTTCTCTGTATAGCCCTGGTTGTCCTGGAACTTGCTTTGTAGACCAAGCTAGCCTGGAAGTTGGAGATCTGCCTGCCTCTGCTTCCTGAGTGCTGGGATTAAACCGACCTTTTATTCTGATGATGCTTAAATTCAGACCACTTTAGAAATCAAACCATCCTTCAGGTGGTGGTGGTGCACACCTTTAAACGGCGACAGAGGATCCGAGTTTGGTCCCCATTTACTGTGGCCTGGTGGTTCATGGCACCTGTAACTATAGCGCCAAGGGCTCTGACATCCTCTTCTAATGTGTGTTAGCACTGCACTCATGTGCACAAAACCCACACAGACACATCTACACATAATTAAAAATAAGTCTTGGCATACTCCTTCAATGCCAACACTCTGGAGGAAAAGGTCTCTATGAGTTTGAGGCTATCCTGGCCTAACTAGCAAGTTCTGGGCCAGCTACAGTAACAAAGTGAGAGCCTTTCTTGTTTTGTTTTTCAGAAAGACATTCCAGAGCATGTCAGTAGGCTCCCAAGCTAAGAGAAAAGGGATATGCTCAAAAGCAAAAATGACTTGGGAGATAAGGTCAAAAAAAGAAAGCAACCAGCTCCACCCATTTGGCTGCCACAGCAAACTACCATAAAACTTACATGGCTTAGCAAAACAAATCTAATTCTCAATTTTAGAACCTGGAGATTCAGTACAAAAGGTAGATATGGTGACACTCCGTTGGTACAGTTTCTTCCGTGCAATGTTCTTCGTAGACCAGCTGTGTTGGCATACATCAGTAACCCCAGCACTCAAGAGGTGTAGACAAGATCAGAAACCCAAGGTTATCCTCAGCTTCATACAGAGTGTGAAGCCAGCCTGGCATTCCTGAGGCCCCCCATCTCAGACAGAATGTGCTGAGGACCTCCTTCCTGGCTTGTTGATGGCGCATTCTTCCTATGTCTTGTGGTAGGTGAGACATGAATGCCAATCATAAGAGCGCCACCAGGGAAGAGGCAGAACTTAATCAGACAAAGCTTCCCAAGTAAGGAGCTGAAAACCCACTGAAAGGCCTTCCACACTGTAGTAAACTAAATAATGTCTCCCCCATATCCTTATCCCCTGGAATCAACCTGTGACCATAGTATCTTAGATGGGAAAGGCTTTACAGAGGTGATTTAAATCAAAGATCTTGAAATGAGGAGCCTATCCAGGTGGGGCCACTGTGATCACAAGTGTCCAATCAGGAAGCAGGAGAGGCAAAAAAAGAGATGTAATAATGGAAGCCATGATCAGAGTAACTGCTTTAAATATTGAAGGGAGGATCCACAAGCCAAGGACTGCAGGAATCCACCAGAAGGTGAAAGAAGGGAGGAGATGGATTGTCCTCATCGGAGCCTCCAGAAAGAACCAGATCTTCCATCTTGATTTAGCTCTGCAGCTTCATTTTTTTTACTTCTTAGACACAGAAAAGTAAAGGATCAATTTATGTTGTATTAACATCATTTGTTAAGTGCCAATGGCAAGCTAAGGTAGCCACGGAAAGACATAATCAGCTGTGCCATTTATTATTTAGAGACAGGTTCTCTTTATAGCCCTGACTGTCCAGAACTCACTATATAGACTGGCCTCAAACTCAGATCTGCCTGGCAAGTGCTGGGATTAAACGGACGTGCTGCTACATCTGTCAAGGGTACCTTTTAGAAAGGTTTTCTGGTTGTTCTTACAGAATGGGCTCTAGGAATCAAAAACAGCCACAGAAGGGTTGGGCAAATGACAGCCGGCATCTGGGTGAATGGTGATGGCACCCGAGATAGAATGGACAAGAGGAAGCTGGAGGAAAGAGCTCTGATTTTAAGGAAATGTTAAGGACCAGAACTGCCTAGGTTTTCTGACAGAGAGGATACATGTGGGAAGGACACAGTGAAGGAAAGGGGATTGGGGTGTCTTCTAAGGTGACTTATTCCGAATACCACACTGTTCCCAAGACCTGCACCAGGAAGGGTGTTCCTGGGAAGCGGGTGTTTTTATGTTATTAGCCTGGAATAGTTCTCTGAGAAATAAATACCCTTAGTCTAAAGGGTTTTTATGAGCCAGGGCAGAGGATTAAAGGCGGCCAGTCTCCAGAGAAATACCAGGGTCAGGAGACTTTGGAGTATGGAGACTTTTAATCTGAACCTTAAAACATTTTTGATTTTTCAATCCCTGAGCTCAGAGTGTCACTTTAAATACGTGTTTGGCAACATCAACTGTTCTATTTTTCTTTTTAATTATACAAAGAAAGATCCTGGAAATGGCTCAGCTCCAGACTGAAGGAGGCAAGGGAAATTTGGCAACAGCAGCTGAAGGCAGAGACACCAACCCAAAATTGAGTGGATTTGAAATCTTTTTGAGGGAGCTGTGAGACCAAACTTCCTACTACCCTGACCTCTATGTAGTCAACCCTGACTCAGGACTTCTAAAAGGAGTCTGATAGACTCACCAGCTTAGAATGGACACCAGACAGATGGACGGGTGTCTGGATAAAAATATCTCCACACTAATGCTGGACTTGCATCTTGAGTTTACTTCCCCTTTTTATCCCATTAGCAGCAAACAGCTGACTCTTTCAGTTGGTACTGCCTACTGTGTGCCAAGCACTAGGCCAAACTGGTCCCAATTCTTTCTGTGATTCCAACTACCTGAGTAGATATTATCTTTATGCCTGATATCTATGTATGGCATTTGAAGCCCTAGTGGTCAGTACAATTCCAGACCCCACTGCCAGGCCTGGTCCTCTTTGCCCTCAAGTCCTTCCCATCTTCTTCCTCTTTGGTCTGGATCACTGGGAGCCATCCTTATGGCTGCTCCATCAGCAGGCTTTCTGGACAGACAGGACCAATAGGAGGCAGGGGAAGTTAGTAGGACCTCCTTGGAAGGAGTGCAGCTGCTGTTTCTGACCCACAGGGGCTTCAACCCTCTAGTTTTCCTTTGTCCCCAGGCCTTTCACTTCCTTCGAGGCAGTTCACATTTGTTCCTTTATTCTGGTACCTGTTTTTCCTGTTTGGATTCTCAGAGATGAACCGCCCTTGGTAAACACAGATTAGCCAATTCATTAGATGTGCAACGGAGCTGCCTTCTTTCTTTGATCCTGGGCACAGCCCATGAGAAGGAAGGCAGCCACCATTTACTGAGCATTGTGCTGACTGCTAGACAAATGTTCTGTCATGAAACACTCGTAACAACCCTTGCTGCCTGGTGCCATCCTGACTCCCACTTGACAGATGGAGCCTAGACAGGTTGGGATGTATGCCAAGCAGCAGAGTTATACACTGATGAAACTGGAGTCCAAATCCAGGTGTACCACACTCAATAGTCTGATTTTTCCTTAGTTCTGAATGTACTTGCAGCCCCCTGATGAATCAGGCTGAAGCCTCTTCTTTGAGCCACTCTGGGGTCCTGAGATTAATCGCTCAAGGCTGCCCTTAGGAAAGCACTGCAGGGCTGGAGAGATGGCTCAGATGTTAAGGACACTAGCTTCTCTTCGAGGTCCTGAGTTCAATTCCCAGCAACCTCATGGTGGCTCACAACCATCTGTAATGAGATCTGGTTCCCTCTTCTAACACGCAGGTGTACATGCAGGCAGAACATTGTATACATAATAAATAAATCTTTAAATAAAAAAGCACTGTAATCTAAGGAGTTCAGAGATCCATTCATTTATTTATTTAGCCCCTCCCCCTTGTTTTTCTTAAGACAAGGTTTACTTATATAGCTCAGGCTGACCTCAAACTCTCATCTCGGACTACAGCCTCCCAAGTACTCAGACAACAGGGGTGCCCAACCACACCCAGATAATGGATTTACTATCTCAGGTCAAGAACTACAGCCATATCACTATGATGTCACCTAATCTCATCAATGTGTGAGGAGGGACACCCTTTCTCTAAAGGTTTTAGAGGAAGATCTGTTCAAGGCTTTCCCCCCCAGATTCTGGTTCTTGTGTGTTCTTCCCCTGTGTCTCCTCAACATCTCCCCTCAGTGTGTGTCTATATGTATATGTTTCACATTTTTTTTTTCCAAGACAGGGTTTCTCTGTGTAGCCTTGGCTGTCCTGGGCTCAATTTGTAGACCAGGCTGGCCTTGCACCCACAGCGATCTGCCTGCCTCTGCTTCCCTGAGGCATGCACCACCATGCCCAACTTGTTTCAGATGTTTTAATTACATGTGTGTGGGTGTTTTGTCTGCATGTATATATGTGTGTCATGTGTGTGCCTGATACCCAAGGTAGTCAGAGGATGGTGCCTGGTGCCCTGAAACAGCAATTGAATAGTTGTGAACCACAGTGTGGGCGCTGGCAATTGAACACAGATCCTCAAAAGAACAAGTGGCTTTAAACACGGATCCATCTCTCCAGTTCCATGTGTGTATTTTTAGAACTCTGTAGCTCAAGTTGGCCTACAACTCACTATGTAGTCCAGGATAGTTGGAAATCCCAGCAGAACTCTTACTTTGTCAAGCACCATGATTAGCGTCATGAACCTCCAAGCTGGGCTAAGAGAACACCAAGGTTCAGAGACCAATTTGCCTGAGGTCACATTGCAACTCAGCAGTCAAAAGTGCACCAAATCTTAAGCATGTAAGAGACTAAAAAAACAAAACAAACAACAAAAACTCCAAATACTTGAATGATAAAGACAAGCTAGTTGAGTGATTCTCAGATTTTACCTGAAGAAACCAAAATAGCCTGGATGGCTTCTTTTTAAAAGATTCTATATGTTTTTTTAATTTTATGTGTATCGAGTGTTTTGCCTGCATATATGTGCACGCAGTGTCTGTGGCAGCCAGAAGAGGGTTCTGGGTCCCCTAGAACTGGACTAGACAGACAGTTGTGAGTCAGCATGTGGAAAACAAACCCCGGTACTCTACTAGAGCAGCAAGTGATCTTAACCAATGAGCCAACTCCCCAGCCCCCTGCATGGCTTTTCATATTTTTTTTTTCAAGACAGGGTTTCTCTTTGCCTTGGCTGTCCTGGACTCACTTTGCAGACCAGGCTGGCCTCCAATTCACAGCGATCCACCTGTGTCGGCCTCCCCGAGTGCTGGGATAGAAGGCATGCACCACTATGCTTGGCTCTTTTCATAACTTCTTAATGGTAATTTTAAATAAAAATATTTTGAAGAGTCTGATCTAGGAAATGAGAAGAGTGGGTAGGTAATGGTGGCATCCTAGACTCTGGAACAATAAAGTTAAAAAAAAAATCTGTCCTGTTACTAAAATAAATGAATAGTAAATGAGACAGATCCCAATGCTTCATAAGTACCTCAGTTTCCTCATCTGTAAAATGGTGATTTAATACAGAAAGGTTGCAAAGAGTTTATCATGACATTTAATATATAATGAAATAATTAGAGTTAATGTAACTATAGATACTAAATAATGACACTAGGACAGGGCCTGTTATTGGGAATTACTACATCAGCTTAACTTTTTCCTCCTGGCAGTCTTTGGTCAGTCCCAGGCTATGTCCATTAGTCCCAATAGATCAGGCCACTGTCCTTTCAGCAGGGTCTCTATCAGGGCACAAAATTGACTGGAAAAGTTTTTGGGTTTTTTCAGATAGAAGCCCAGAGGTTGAAGGCATACCTTCCGGCCACCTGAGGGAGCCGCAGGGTTGCTTGGAAGCGCTGCTGAATCAGAAGCCTGGGCTCCAGCCCTTTTTGCCCGCAAGCGTAATTTCCGAAATTTTCTAGCTTGGTGCTTTCTTGATAGAGGCTTGATTTTCCCACCTGTTGGAGTCCGGATATAGATGGCTTTGCTGCTACTCATAATTCCGGCTGGAGCTAGTAAGGGAGACAGAGTTTACTGTGGACCTTTCAACACGCTGGGGGGGGGGGGGCGGGGGCTGGGGGGGGCTGTGGTTAGAGCCGTCCCCCCACCCTGGGTCTGGGGTCGTTTGTTTTAAATTTTTTCTTTGCTCATTGACCCCAGGACTACAAGCTGAGCTTCTTGTTTTGTTTTGTCTTCTCATTTATACAGATGGGTGATTCCAAATCAGGGTTCTGATGTGGCCACGCGAGGAAACCATCGCCTTCGCAAAGGCCCCTCATTAGCCACCGCTGCCCGTTCTTTCCGTTGCTCTAGATCAGTAGATCTTCCCTTCAGCCTTCCACCCCCTTTTCCCTCCAGGCCTCAGGCCCTCTCTCTAGCTAGGAATTTCTCCGAACCAAGGGCGTCTGTCTCTTTATCCATTCAACTTGTTTCTACACAAACTCAGCTCTAAGGGTGCTCATGCATTGCTGATGGTCAGATCGATAAATAAATCGGCTAGACAAACTCAGATGCTGTCCTAGTGTTGCTGTGATAAAAGGCCAATGCCAAAGACAGCTTGGAGAGGAAAGGGTTCATTTGGCTTACGCTTCCGACCTGTATCGGGGCAGGAACTGAAGCACAGCAGAAAGCACCCGGTGCTTGCTCAGCCGCGCACCCTTTTTACAGAACCCAGGATGGCCCACCTGCCCAGGGCAGCACCACTCACAGTGGGCTAGGCTGTCCCACGTCAGCCAATCAAGAAAATGTGCTACAGACTTGCCTACAAGCCATGCACTGAAGGGTGCATGGTCTCAATTGAGATTCCCTCTTCTCAGATGACTTTAGCTTGACCAAAAACAAAAACAAAATCAAACAAACAAAAAACAAAACTAAGCAGCACAGATGCTATCGTGATCAGAGCTACGCAAGGGATGATACTAGGGTGACCAGACAAGTCCAGGCATGAGGCTATGTAGGCAGAAAGGAAGGTCTTTGGGGAAGTGGTATTTGAGTTCAGATGCAGATGATAATCAAAAGGGAATAAGCAAGCACAAGAATAGTGCCCACCTACAAGACAAACCCAGCATGGTGAGATTCCAAATTCCAAATCCTGTCTTTCCGTTGTCATTTGATTTTATGTTACTGAGACAAGGTCAATTATGTCCTAGAACTCAGAGATCCTCCTTGCATTTTGCGTCTAGAGGAGTCTCAAGAACTTGGAAGGAGTCCCTCTCAGTACCATGCGGTTGGGTGGAGGGCCGCCCTCTAGTGGTTTTACAAAAGTTAAGTATCACACCATAGACCTGGAGCGTCACATGCTTAGGACTTTCGTAGGGTCTAAATTCGTCACTCGTTCTTGTTCTTTCCACACGTATTCAGCCAACAAGTATTTCTTCAATGTGGAGCATGCGCCAAGAAACATTCTGGATGCTGGGGCTTAGGGCAGTGAAGTCGCTGTTAACGCAGCTGCTTTGGATTTATCATCCTAGAGTTCCGTAGCCCGGGACCTCCCTTACCACACCTGAGCCCCACCCTCAGCCACCAGATTCCGCAGCTAAATCCCTGACTCAGGCGGCTTCTGCACTTGTAGTTTCCTTTTCCCTTTGGTCCTGGCTTTTTACATTGCTGGCCCAGGTCTCAGCTGAGACCCAAAGGTGTAGACCTGTTTATAGTCTGCCTCTACAGAATAGACAGTCCCATGAAGGGGCCTGGACTTGGTGCACGCTTAAGGCCAGCTCTCCGGAGGCATGCGCAGATGGATTGTTGAGTTCAAAGCCAGCCTGGTCTATGCAACAAGTCCCAGGTCAGGCGAGCTATGTAGTCTCGAAAATAAATACACAGAGACTAGTATTCTAAAAATGAAATGCTACCATCCACCTTTTCTTCTTGTTGTTTTGTTTTTTCCCAACACATGTTCAGCCTTCTGAAGCTGTATTTTACTCACTGATGTTTGTGTGTCTTTTCTCCAAGAATATCAGCTGCTATGCGGGCAGAGAATTTTGTCCCTCTTGTGTTCTGAGGCAGGAGCTCAGTACTACTTCAAACACATGATTTTCCTGCCTCAGCCTCCTCTGTGCGGGAATGACAGACACACATGACAACCTCGGGATCGACTTTGGCCCTCTTATTCACAAGTCCACAGCCTGCCCTCAGCGCCCGGAACAATGCTGGCACCCAGCAGCCCGCTCAATAACCGCTGACTGAACTCCAGTAAACCTCCGCTTGCTTTTTCCAACAGACCTTTTCGCCACCTTGTTCCAAAGAGGAAATAGGCCTCAGGAGGCGCCCAGAGGTGACCTCGGATGGCCCAACTCAAGAGCTCCGGGAGCAAAGCCACACGAAGCAGCTGCAGAGAGGAGAAGCAAGGCCTGTCAGCGCGCTTCCAGGAAGGCGCGCCAGGGGCTGTGGGCGGGGCCGTCGGGGGCGGCGCGGGGCACGTACCTCTCACGGGCACCGCCCACTGCCTTGTGGGCGGGGCTACCAGTGGGTGGGGCGTATGCAAATAACCGCGAGGCGTCGGCCAATCGTGGAGCGCGCCGAGGGGCCGGCCTGGGACGGGACGCCGGTCGGCGCGCAGGCTCAGGTCGCGGCCGCTTGCAACTTGCGGAGCGGTTTTGTAGCCCGTGCCTCGGCCTCTGGATCCGGTGCGTCCGGCCGCGTGAGACAGACTCGAGTGGGAGGCCGGCGGAGGTGCGGCGCGGCCCCGGGGCCGCAGCCTTCGCAGGCGCCCGCCGCCCAGCCGCGCCTTCGCAGCGTACTCCATGCATCCGGAGCCTGCCCCGCCCCCGAGCAACAGCAATCCGGAGCTTCCCTTGAGCGGCGGCAGCAGCAGCACCAGCGGCAGCCGCCGGAGCCGTCGCCGCAGCGGGGACGGGGAGCCCTCGGGGCCCCCGCCGCTGTCGCCGCCGCCCGCCGTCAGCTACCCGGACTGGATCGGCCAGAGTTACTCCGAGGTGATGAGCCTCAACGAGCACTCGATGCAGGCGCTGTCCTGGCGCAAGCTCTACTTGAGCCGCGCCAAGCTCAAAGCCTCCAGCCGGACTTCGGCTCTGCTCTCCGGCTTCGCCATGGTGAGCTCGGGCCGCCCTGCCCTCCTCCCCTCTTCCTGCTTCGGCCGCTCCCGCCCGCAGCCCCGACGGGGCCCACAGTTGGGAGCGGGCTGGGCGTGCCTGGGGTGAGGGAAAAGAGCTGGGATCAGCTGTCGTAGGCGCCAGAGGGGAGCTAGAGGTTGCTGCGCTGTGAGGGAGAGGTGGACGACCAGAGCTACCCAGGTGCAGGTGTTTTTAGACGAGCACCTTGTGTTAGGAACGCTGCTTTCCTGAAGTTGGTATGTAAGAAGTCTGCCCTGCATGTGTTCAGGGGGACAGGAAGGACGCGTAAGGTCCGGCCCACTGAGGACAGGTGTCAGGAGCTGAAGATGAGAGCTACCTTGTCCCGCGCCCTCCCACACACCTAAGGCCAGGAGGTGTTAAGAAGGCTTCTTTATCAAATATTGGAGGGGATTTCCTAATACTTTCCACCTCCCCACACTCCACACACTCTCTCCCTTCCTCCATAACCCCACCGCATTTTCCAAGAGCCTCAGCCTAGAGGTTGACAGCCGCTCCCCACCCTGTTTGTTTTTTTGTTGTTTTTTTTTTCTCTACAGAAACTTGCCTGAGTCACTGGGTGTGGGGGAGGAGGGTGGGCCATGTTCCCCCTGAACGGGCTCTTGGGCTCTTGCTTGATTAGGAGGTAGGCATAGTTTTCTCCTCTCAAGTCCCAAGAAGGTGGTAACAAGAAGCCTGTGCAGGAGGCGCCCCTGGAGGCGGCAGGTTAGGCCCCTGAAGTTAACTCTAGGAATACCTTCAGGCCTGACATCCTGGAGTTTGCCTGGAGCAGGCACTACCTAACAACTTATCTTTTGGTGACCTCAGCCTGCATCAGTGGAGTCTGCCCCCCTCCCCTTCACCAGCACCCCCTGCCTCCCCCATGAATTAGCTAAGCCCTTGGCCTTGAGGAAGGGAGTGGCTGGCACCCTTGGTGTTTTCCTGGGAAGAAGGGAGTGTGTCTGGGTCTCTCCCCGTCTTCTGCAAACAAGTGGATCAGCACAGTTGTGAGCCTGAGTGCGTTTAGAGGCCCGCAGTGCACTGGGCCACAGAGGAGAGGCCAGGCGAGGGAGGGAACATCTCTCCCTGCTCGATGCTTATACGACCTCAGGCACATCGCTCACTTTCTCTCCCTGGACCTTGATTTCTGAAATGGTAGATAAAAACAGTTCTTAAAAAGTTCCCCTGAGCTGTGTGATGGTAGCATGCCCTTAATCCCAGCACTCAGGGGCAGAGGCAGGTAGATTCCTGAGTTGGAGGCCAACCTGGACTACAGAGTCAGTTCCAGGACAGCCAGGGCTACTCAGAGAAACCTGGTCTCAAAAAACCAAAAAGGAAAAAAGAAAGAGAGTTGGATGTGGCCTATAAGTACAGTACTCAGGAGACAGAGGCAGGAGGATTGCCCACAAGTTCAAGACCATCCTGTTCTACACAGCTAGTCTGGTAAACAGGACTGGAGGTCATCTGGCCACTCACTTGTGCCACCTGTCACCACAGTGCTGTGACCAGTGTCCAGCCAGAGGCAGGTAGCGCTGGGGAATGAGAAGAAAAAAAAGTTTCTTTGGAAGCTAAAAAGCAAGTTTTACACCTTGTGAAGGAGAGCCACCACTAGCGTGCTTTTTTGTGGGCTCATAAATCCTGGCTTTCTAGGCCCCCTTCTAAGCCCCAGGTGAAGCTTCCCTACCCTCTTTTCTCATTCTCCTCCTCTGCAGGAGGCCAGGCCTCCACTAAAAACAGTGAAGGAAGTTAGAAGGCCGGGGTAGTAATGCCCTTGGGTGGGCGAGGGTGAGCCCACGATGTCTGTCTGGGAATCTTGTTTCCTCAGCCAGGGTGGAGTAGGTGTCTCAACTCCACGATGGCTTCTAAATTCTGCAAACCAGGAAGGGTTGAATCCCAGCCCTGCCTCCGTTCTGAGCAGCAGTTTCGAGAGGGTAACTTAAGTTCTTTGCTGTGAAGCCGGACTCCTAAAGACTCTGGATTCGTGGTGTGAGGCCTGCTTATGCCCTGCCCCCACTGCTGACACTCAGCTCTTGAGTGAGCCTCAAGAGAGGAAGGGGTGCCTGGCTGCCCTGATGCCATGGTAACAGAGTGACAAGTTTCCTGGATTACTCTCTCTTGGCTTGTGAGTCAGCACAACCAACTTCCTTCCCCCAGGGGGCTTCCTTTCTACAAACCTGGAGAAGTGGCCTAGCTGACAGGACCTTTGGTCTCCAGGGTTAGCCAGGATGCCTAGATTGCTAAATTTCACTTGTTCATCCATAAGGGTAGGGTGAGGGAGAATCTCCCCAAAAGCCTGGTGGAGGCTGAGCCAATCCTAACTTCACAATGGAAGGGCGTAGGCCTGGTATTTGTAACACGTTGAGGGTGAGCATCTTCGAGGAGGTTGGTTTTCTCCTGTGTAGAGATGGGAGGAGCCTATTCTCCCCTTGGCTTGAATAAGGATTAATTACGACTGCCTATGGGGGGTGGGGCTGGGGAATTTCAGGATCTGATGTATCCAGTCTGCTGGTGAGACCGGGCAGATACAAAATGAAGGGAGCCTGACCCTGGGTTAAATGTGCATCTAGCAGTGTCCCTGGAGCCAACAGTACCCTTCAAGCAGGTGGTGGCGGACTACACCTCTAGTTCCAGCACTTGGGAGGCAGAGGCAGGCAGATCTTTGTGAGCTTGAGGCCAGCCTGGTCTACAGAGCGACTTCCAGGACAGCCAGGGCCACACAGAAAAACCCTATATTAAAAACCAAAAGAGTATCCTTTGGAGCCTAAGCTATCTGTACCTAAGGTTACCACTTAACAGCCTGGGCCTGACCCTGTCCCTGTATAGGACTGTGGTGATCATGCATGGAGGGCAGGCTGTAACACTGGTCTAAGCAAACGATAATTGGGAAGGTCAGCCTGGTGCAGTAAACAAAATGCTTTCCATGACCTGGGATCAATTATTTTTGGATTATCTTCCTCCTCAAGTTCTGCCTGCCAGCCCCCCTTTTGTTTCCAGGTTCCAGAGCAGGTTCAGAAGTTGGCTGAGATTTCTGGGAAAATGAGTTGGAAGGAAGCACTCAAGTCATGAGACATTATTGGGTGTTTATGACATACGCGGAGATCAGGGCTCCTGGAGATGAGCAAGGAGCTAATGTTACCGCTTGGTCCTAATCCCCAGAAATGATCATTAATGCTGGACTCCTGCGCTAGGCCACCACAGTGCAGAATGCTCTAGAAGGGTTGCCATGTCTTCTCCCTACACTCATGGCTGTCCCACATGAATGACGTGCCTCAGTGAAGTCACGTGGGTGCAAGTGGTATAGCCCTCTGGGGGGCACGGAGAAAAAGCAGGCACCAGAGAGTGGTGAGGACACAGAACCCAGGCGCTGTGGGATAGCAAAGTGGCACCAGGGACTGCAGCTACCCAGCTTCAGACCGTAGAATCTTGGGGGTGGGGGGTGTCACGTAACCACCTTGGATCCCGGTTCTCTCACCCGTAAAATGAAGTAACTATAACAGCAACCTTACGGGTGTGGGGATTTGTTGGGCTGGTATTTGCAAATAGTTTCCATGGTGCGGAGGCTGCTTTTTGAAGGGTTGCTGGAGTTAGAATTGTGATTCCAACTGAGCCTCGAGGATGCTGGGAGTAAGGTTTGGAGAAGGGCCCACCCCTGGCAAGAGCAGTTTTGGAGATCAGTTGTAGGGTGTTTAGGGAAAGATAGGGCTCTGGCATGACCGGCATTGTGCCACACGCAAAAGCACTATGGTAGATGGGCATGGTGGTACACTCCTTTAAGCCCAGTACTCAGGAGGTAAAGGCAGACATATCTCTGACTCTTAGATCAGCCTGGTCTATACGTTGTTTTAATCAAAAGTCCTATGGTAGAGGATCTTGATTGACTGTTTAGGAAGTTGTGTAGGGAGTAGGGAGCTACCAAAGGCTATGGACAGAGTCTGTAATTGTGATGGTGATGGTGGCTCTTACATAACTCCTATGGTGTCCGGCAGGAGCCTGGACTCCCCTCTTTCATTCTTGTTTAAACCTCATAGTAGGTTTTAAAAGGGAGAGATCCACCCATGAAAACCAGGGCTCTTAGAGGCTCAAGCCTCAAGTTCTGGTGAATCTGACTTGGAGCCCTCCCCACCTCCAGCTCCCCCCCACACTTCCTCTTGCCATACCCCCTTCGCTGGCTGATAATCAGGCCTTTGCGGTCTGCCAGATGCCCAGTTCTGCATGCAAGATTTGTATGCTGGGCTGTGTATAAGTGGGACTCTGCTGAATGTCCCAAGAGGAGGTTGATGTCTGCCCCGCAGAGAAGCCTTTTGTGAGACTTCACAAGTGCCTGCGGCATGTTTCTGGAATTCTCAGCTGGGAACAGTGAGGGCCCTCCCCTTGATGGGTTCTGACTGCTAGGGAAAAACTCTTTTTAAGTAGGCTTCCCAAGGCTGTGCTTTATTGATTGACATGGGATAGAGGATAGGCTGAAGGAAAAGGAATATGAAGTTAAAATGTAAATCAGATGATTTCTGTAACAGGACTTCTGAGGGCCTTTTAATGCGCTTCTTGAAAGGAACATATCAGACAGCACCACAGGCAGACAGTGCTGATGGTTTTGTTTTTTTTAAAGAGAATCTTTTGCTTTGCTATTGGGTCTCTATAGCCTACTCTGGAAGGAACCCTTAATCCTTCTGCGTCAGCTCCTTGTGTGCTGGGATGTTCTGCATATACCAGCATGCCTGGTTCAGAAAAGGGGGAGGAAAAGTACATACACACACACACATATATGTACTTTTTTAGTTTTTTTGAGACAGGGTTTCTCTGTGTAGCCTTGGCTGTCCTGAACTTGCTTTGTAGACCAGGCTGGCCTCAAACTCACAGTGGTCCGCCTGCCTCTGTCTCCCTGAGTGCTGGGATCACAGGCATGCGTCACTGCACCAGGGTGAGAGAAATATTTTTTAAATTGCTTTTAAGTTATATAAGGTGATGGGTTTCATTATGACATT